GCAAAAGGGGATTGCATAGGAGAATGGGCTCATTTTAGACAGTTGTTTAAATGCATTTAAAAGGTCTTTTCCTTCCTGTCTTTGATTTAAGATGTTACGCCCTAGAAGAAAGCCTCGTTATTGAGCTCATTCAGCCTCATCTACAGCTTCTCAGCTGTACCCTTTCGCCTGCAAGATGCAGGACACTCCCAGCTCTGCTGAATGCGTGCTGCAGGCAGCTCTACTGCCCAGTGAAGCTGTCCTCCCCAACGTATTCTATTGACAGGCACAGGCTAGTTATATTCTCTAGAGTAGAAATTGTCTTTTTGAGACAGTAATTATACCATAAATCTGTTTCAGGCAATTGATCCTAGCATGCCAACTCCACCAAGTTGAGACTGTGCTTTCAGGTGTGTTGCAAAGAAGGCTTTATGTCTGTTCTCTTTCAGGAATGTTATTTCCAGTGTATAGACCATGTGCAGCAGCCGATTGGGAGTGCAGAGCTAGAGGTGTGCTGCTCATTGATGCACTGAGACTCCCTTCTCTCTGACAGCACTCAGAAGTTATACTCCCAGTTTAGTATTTGAAGGTGGTTAAAAAAATGCCCCTGTGCATTGGGTTAATGATTTATTCCAGATGTGTACAAATACTAATTTCATCACATTGTCATGCTTTTCTTTCTACATATGGGTTTTGGCTACGCTAGTACAGCCTGCAAGCTTTGCCTGGGCAGATGTGCTCGTTTGTATCTAATGGCCTTACTCTGAAATTCTGATAAGCATCATCTATTCTATATCGTTTAGGCCTCATAGGAGCCAACTCATGCAAATGCTGGAAAGATTCTCCTTGGGCTCTAAAGGCTTTGCTCTTAAAGTGCTCTGGGGTGTAAGTTAGACTCCTGAGGCACCAGTAAAAGCCCTTTGCATTCTCTAAGATGCACCAAGGGGAATACTGCACAGTAGCTCAAATGGATACATGCCCCATGCGGACACCACCTCATTTTTAGCAAGGCTGCTAAGTGGAAGTGGCAGTGGGTGGGTCAAAAAAAATCTTGAGCTTCAGTTGGCACACAAAAATTGAAGTAAATAGCATGTATTGTTCGAGGAATGCAACGCTGCCTCTGCTCACCTTGATTTTCATGGATTGGAACACTACATGGTGACCTTGGGAAGGCTCAATTCAAAGAAAAAAATCCTAAGTGCCTTGAGTTATGCTTCTGTGCCTGGCCTGAATTGCCTCAATTGCATCATTCAGCACAGTGCAGTACCTATTGCATTCAAGAGCCTTCTCTTATCTCTACAACTAATCAGTCCTGTATTTTGAAAGGGGCTCAGACTGTTAGAGTATCTCAGATAACATCTAGCATATGCCCATAGACCCAGTGGTCTCACACAATGCAGCACATGGACAGCATTGTCCTCTACAGGACAGGAGAGGCTCGGCTTCCTCCATTGCTGGATGGCATTTAAACCCATGTTTCCTAGCTGCTGGGCTGTTCCCTTGCCCACAGCAAAGCTTTACAGCAAAGTGTTACGGCCTCACTGAGCAGCAGTGCCTAGCTATTAGGGCACTTTGGGGAGGGAAGAGCAAATGGGGTGCAGTCCTCACTCCCAGCACAATTTACACATTTTAACCAATGACTGTTTAGTGCAAAATGACACCACTTAAGATACTCAGAGCATCTTTTTGTAACCCAAATTAGTTGTTTCTTGACAAGTTGAAATCCTGCTGTGGATTTGACAGTTGCCCAGAAATAGCATCCAGGCTGTCAGGTCCCATTTCTCCCGCACATTTGGCTTTCAGCCATGGATGTCTGAACTGCTGTTTCCACTTGACTCTGCAGACGCCAGCTGGGTCATTCTCAGTTCTTGCACAGAGTCCTCAGAAGAAGCTGCTGCTATGGGAGACTTAGCTTTCTATCATGAGGTGCCACTCAGTGGAATCTGCAAGTACGTGCAGCCTTCGCTAAAGCTTCTGCCCCAAATGGGGACTGGTCTCTTGGTAGGCAGTCAGAAGCTGTGCTTACTATCCCAAAATTTCAGCCAGTGACAGGGAGGGACTGGCTGCCTCTACGGGGTGAGAATAACTCATACCTTCAGGTCCGTGACAGTGAGAAAAAGATGAGGCAGTGCTATGCATGGTAATCATGGCTGGACACTGCTTGCAGGAGGTTTGCAAAGCTTAGGGAAGCCCTACATGGGATGAGATGTTCCAGGTTTTGCTGCCAGTAGTCCAGCCTCTCATGTACTCCACAGTATTTCACATCCCAAACGCTTTTCTGCCTCAGATAATCTGTAACTACACCCTGAGTTTATATCTCAGGATTATATCTCATATAGGCTTAGCCCTTCTGTGACCATTTATTTATTTTAGTTCTTTTTCTAATCAGCTACATATGAAAAGGCTCAGCTACTTTCTTGTCCAATGTCAAGCTCAGGCTCCACTATAGCTATAAATCCTGAAGGGATGGTAGCAGTGGAGCTTGGTTTGATGGTCAGGACCAGCAATTTCTGACCCAAAAGGGTTTATTATTTATTTACGAACTCTCACAGGACAAGTGTGTGACTCATCACAGACAAGTTTACCCCCTTCAGAAGAGAAAACCCCACTTATCTGGGAAGGAAATAAAAAACACCTAAAATCCTAAACTATAAAACCATCTTAAATCAGGGTTCTGTAAGCTTATCGTTCTAGTGCATGGCTTTCAGTTGAGAATTACCCTGAAAAGCTGCAGTAGGTAATTTTTCTGTGGCTTCATAAGCAGTTGGAAAACACCCACTTCATATGCTCGTGCTGGTTTGTTTCTTTTTAAACTCAGTTGGCTTAATCCCATTGCATTTAGGTTGGTTTGATGTTTCTCCACTAGCTAAGTACTGCTGGATGTTCCAGCACAATATGCTTTATGGCAAGGAGTGAAAAACATAAAGGCAGGCTGCAGTGTTAGTGGCATTCCCTGCCATTGCCTTTTTGCTCCTGTTGAGCTTTATGTTTTGCTGTGGAATAGTAAGGAGGCTTCACTAACAAACGAAAGAAAGCCAGCTCTTTAAAACTGCATTTCTATTTCAGCCAGTCTTACCTTGTGCTGTTCTGTTGTTTCAGCTAATTTTCCAAAGAATCATACCCTGGTTTTGTTTTCCTGGTAATATCTGGGGGGAAGTCCTTATTAAGACTTACAGCTGCTCAAGAACTAAACTCTTATGTATGTATGCATCACAAGGAGCTTAAACCAAGTCACAGTAGTAGGCAGTAGCTCTAGCAAGGGAAAATAGGGATCTGGATAGAGATAAAGAATTGCTAATAATTGCCCACAGATTAAAAATTTCAAAAATACTGATTCATATAGCTGTATCTGAGGTTAAGGAGAATGCAGCATTGGTAAAGAACTGAACTAAAAGTCTTTGGGGTCTATTAGGTAAAGAACAGTCTATGCTTGCAAGTAATTTTAGCAGCTAAATGGCTCTGCTCATTCTTTGATACTTAATGATGGCATCTTGAATTTCACACATTGATTTTTAAACAAGGCAGGCCAAAAGACAGTGAGTTCTGTAGCCAAATTAGCATGGTCACAGGTTTCTCCACACTTCGTTGGAAATTCCATGCTCTTGGAGCAAGCTAATTCCTTTATCCTCAAGGTGCACATTGGAGTGGGACTTAGATTGTTGTGCCTACACCATATGCATGAAGAACCAGCTGGTCTAGCAACTGCTTCAGTCATGCTCCCTGAAAAACTCTTGAAGCCTCTAAGCACTGCATTTCCGTTGTCAGTAGTGGACATCTTGCCAAATAATCTCCTTAGTACACTACAGGCAAACGCTCTCTCAATTTTTTGCAGTAATTAGTATTACATGTAGTTTTAGACAAGAAGAGGGTAGGGGGAAGAGCAAAGGAATTATTTAGTATTGGCAGAAGGTGCAGTACAGACAATCCTGGAACTACTAATCTGTCTAAATGGTGGGACAAGGACTGTGGGGTGGATTTTCCTCCCTGCCCAGCTTGCTCCATGCGAGACAGCGCTGGAAGGGAAGGATAATTCAGGTATTATGACTACTGTACCTGCCATGGACTTCAGGCTCTAGCATACTGGTGTAGGGCCACACGGGCAGTATATTTACTAAAGACGGGCTCTTGAGGCTCTCTCGCTGATCAGTTTCATGTTTCTCTTCTGTGTCTGGCAAGGGAAATGGTAAAATGTAAAGGGAAGACTTCTTTATATGGCCTAATCCAGATACAGCCACTAAAATCTGACACCTGTATGTGCATACGGTCGAATGCTATAGAAGAAAGGAGCTCCTGTATGCAGCAGGTTGTTTCATTGTGCTGAATGTGAGATGACCTTGAAGAGCAAGGTCTGTGCTAGCAGAGCGTAACCCAAATCAGCACCAGGAGAATGTGTGATGAAATGCAGGCTTAGTGAGAAGCTAGTAGTTTTGTTTGTTGCTTGTTTTCTCACATTTAGGAAATCCCATATGGGGAGAAATTAAAGGGTGATGTGCTACGGTAGAGGAGGGACCCCCAGATGCTGTGACTTGATTGAGCCGGTGTGTCAGCCCAAGGAAGAAAAGTGAGCGGCAAAAACAGCTTCTCGGGCACCTCCGTCCACCCAGTCATGCTCAGCTTCTGGGCTCCCCAAGGTTCAGCCAGCAACAGCCTAAATATTTTTCAAATTTTTTCGAACTGCTTGGAAAATGAGCATCATTGTCTTGGATGAGGAGAACCAGCAGGCCTGTCCTTTTACCCGCCTGGAGAACAGAGTGGCCAAAGCCAGTGAGGGCCATAAACTGTTTTCCCCAGTCTCTGCTATGATGCTGTCAGGGCTCTCTGTGCGTGCTGAGCAGTTGTGTAGTCACTCATGTTTATAGCTGTTGCTGACTGGGGAAGATGCTCCTTACACGTCAAACAGGTCTCTTTTGAGCAACAGGGAATTCACCCTGCTGAGGTGGCAGTGAGGATGGGATGATATTGCCACCACACACATGTGTTTTGGTACTATTAACCACGCTCCTTTTTGGTTTACTCCACAGATACTGTGTGGGAAAGAGATCCCCCGCTGGGTGAACCGCCTGGCCTACTTCAGCTCCTGCATCCCCTTCCTCCAGAGTTGCCTCCCCAAGGAGTGGCTGACTCCAGCAGCCCTGCAAAGCCACATCAGCCTTGGCCTCCACAAAGAGGAGCAGGGGAACACGATGGATGAGGAGTCCCCTTCCACCTCTGCAGCCCCCTCGGCCTCAGGCACATCGCGAACCTGTCGGCATACCCGGGTCTAAGCTGTGCCCAGTATGCCCTCAAGTAACATCCCTCTCTCTTGTACTGTTTCTTTCTCACGCCTTTTCACACACTTTGGTTTCTCTCTTCTTCAACGGACAACACAAGGGAGGGAAGACCCTTTCTACTGAGGAGGTGAAGCTTCAGTCCCTTTTCCAAGAACTGCCACTACAGTCACTTGGCAGAATGACTGTGAAGCCCAACACTGAACTGAGGAGTGTGGTGACTAAACTGGATTCTCCTTCCAGGGCCCCCACGCTTCTCAATCCACAGAGAACTGCTGGCTCTCTTGGGCATGAGCACATGCCTGTGGGCAGGAGGGCACCATACTGTGATGTTCCTTCTCTGGAACTGTTTTATCTTTTTATTTCTTCCCCCACCCATGTGAGCCCAGCAACCTGCTCTCTATTTTGGATGGGTTTGTCATTCCCCTATGACAAATCTCCTGCCCACACCCAGTGAAGGAAGCAAAGCCAGAACTCAACCTTCTCAACTCTTAGACCAGCAACAAGCTCCACTCAGCCCCACCCATTTTGTAATTATCGGGTTTCTAACTCATGTGAAGGACAAATGAAAGGTGCTGCTGTTCTATAACCGCCAGTTTTCAGTACTGAAATTTAAGAGCTTGAATGACTGTCCTGCTCTTGAAAATAACAACAGAGAACTTAGCAAATGAATGTGTTACTGTGGCTTTTCTTTGGGGTCAAAAAGAGGATGGGGCTAGTGCTTAGAGGCAGCTACTAAGTGCGTGCAGAGATGACTTTTGACCATATTGGTGCTTTTTGGCACAGATCCCTCAGATCCCTTGATTCTAGGCAACCTTCCTGGTTTATTTTTTCATCCCTGGTGAATATCTCTCCTAACTGACATTTTCTGTCTCTCTTTGGGGGAATGGCCCTCCTGAGCACAGGAGAAAGAGAGAATCTGTTGGGAAAGAGAGAAAGAGAAAGAAAGAGAGAATCTATTGGGAAGGTCAGTATTTCCTTCAGCTTTTCCTCGTGCACTTGCAGTCCTAAAAAGTGACTCCAGAGCCACTCTTCCACAGCCTCTTTCTGAGCCCACCCAAGAAGGCAAAAAATGAGTGGTGAACCCAAAGAATGTCAACCTGTTTCCTTCTCCTCCCTTTTTGGAGGTGGTGGGGGAAACTTAGGGCCACATCTGGAAAGCATGGATGACCCTTCCAATGCACGGGACGCAATGGTGCCTTCCATTGTGTGCACGATTTCAGTGGCATGAAAAATGGGCACAGCTGGCTTGTTGGCCTCTCCAGGTTGGCTCTTGACAAGAATCTGGTCCTTGTATTTAGGCTCATTCTGATAGTTGACAAGAAAGCAGAGGAGGAGGAAAGGACAAGTACACAATTTTTCCACTCAATTACCTCACTAGGAGTTCTAGTCAAAAGATGTAGGAGAGAATCAAAGGGGAAATCCAGACCACCTCTGTCCTTTACAACTCCTCTTGGCCACACAAAAGAGGATGAAAAAGAAAGAGGCACAGTGGTGAGAGGGACTTGCCGTTTTAGAAATGCTATTCTCGACAGCTACTACCAAGTCAGGACCTCCACCCAGAAAGAACTACAAGCCCTTAAGGTGGGTGGATGTCGAGTCCAACCAACTGTTTCTTTAGCTCAGGTATACAGAAGTGTGTGCTTTCAGGGCTGAAGGTCTTGGCTATGATGTACATCACGTCTGCACAGACAGTGCTTAATGGTTTGTTCCATGCGCATGCTCATAGTGAAGCGGCAGGCTTTGGAGAGATATACTGCATGGAAAAAAAATCACAAGATGGCCTCACTCCACCACTTCCTGAAGTGATGCATATCTGGGCAACAAAACCTTCACAACACGCCTCTCGTTTTCATCCTCTGAAGAAACTGCTGCAAGTTCTATACCGAACTAAAATAATTTTCCTTATTATCCTTGGCTACTCACAGCCATTACTGCATTGTGAGCAATTCTGCAGCTCCCATATCCTGTCCGGCAACAATCTTGATTACGCTGGCTTGTCCAGGGATATTTAATACAATTTCTGTCCTGTTCTCCATCCTGCTGGCCAGAAACCCTGTTACACAATGTATTGTTGAACTCTCTATTCCCCTGCAGTCATGGTCACTGCAGCCGAAACCAGCTGCACAAGCTTCATTTGTCTGAAGTTCCCAGGGTGCCTGCCAATAGCCAGCAGCATGTTATGTACCGTGAATTTTAAACTCTCTTTTCAGGTCCTTCTCTGGAGGAAAGTGAGAAGAGGCTTTCCCAGAGCTTTTGTCTAGGCCAGGGAGACTGCAGTCAGAAAAACCTAACTGCCAATGTGACAAAAACCAGGTGGTCACCACCCTTGTGTTTCTGCTCTGCACCTGAGCTCCAGATAAGGCACCATGTATACACCTAGGAGAGAACTAGGGCTGGTCCAGAGGCACGTTTCACAGAGAAAACCTTCTCACAGTACTTTACAAAGTAATTAAAAAAAAAAAAGAAAAAAAGCTGTATGGTAACCTGGACAAGAAAGCTATGTTCAGCCCCCTTGGGGACATGAATATTTGCTTGAAGTATTGGGGGAGTGAGCTGTCAATGTCATAAAAAACAGATCTTTATCTACTTTTATGTTTGTCCATCTGTTTATGACAGTAGGGTTCACATCAAGGAGGCATCAAACCTCTGTTGTAAATCAAAACCAGAATATATTCCAGTCTTCAAAAGCATTTCTCCCCACCCCTCTCTGTTCAAGGTGGCCAGCTAACAACGACAAGAACAAAGGGACACTGTGGAAATAAAATATATATTGATGATAGCTTTACCTCTGTAATTTAACAGCATTTTAGATTATCAAACATGAAGACATTTTGAAAGCTTAATTTACTATTCATCTCCGGCACAGCACATTTGTTTTAGGCACTTTTCTTGTCTTTCCAAATATTATAAAATTATTGTTGTTATTATATAATTATATCATATTTGTATTTATTTACACACTTGCTCCCTCTTGTTGTTTTGGAGAATAACACTATGGGAAAATTTTAGATACCAGCAGTTATCAATGAAAACAAAAGAGCAGTTTATGAACCTTAACCAAAGCACCTCATGACACTGGCACAAACTCTTGACCTTTCTTTTTACTACCAGGTCTTTGGTGGCTTTTTGAAAGTTGGAATAAGAGGGCACAAACTCAGCATCAGCAGCTGTGGCTTAGGTCTCTAGCAGAGAGCTAACAGTACTCAGGTTGGAGAGTAAGACTGAAGGTGTGGTTAGCCTAATGCCTAATTAGAGTTATAATACAAACTGTTTCTAGGGA